CCTTTTCATCAGGCCCTCCCTATTTCTCTATGTGCCTTTGCACATCCCTCAGATACTCTCCCTTGGCACCTCCTCATCTTGGAGGTGCCCTTTTAGGGTTTAGATGAAATCCTGCCTTCAGCTTTTGTTTTTCTGTCCCCAGTGCCTAAGACAGTGCCTGGCACATAATGGGTGTTAAATAAATTCTTGTTGAATGGAATTGAATAAAGTTGAGGGCATCAGAAGCCCAAAAAAAAGCAATGCTATATATAACCACTTATTTTTTCTTCATTACAATTTTTATATAATCTTTTCTTATTTCTTATAGGTCTGTACTATATTCTTTTGGCCTTGGCTCTATGCTGATTTGCATAGTTTAATCAGGTCACCCAATGTGACTTGAATATAAATTTCTTCCCCATTCAACCCATTCTAAATTCCCTCTTCTACTAGTATCTTATGATTAGAAAGTGAGTTTATCTTACATTTTCCTCAGTTTGGGTATACCATTTATACCAAGTTACAGTAACCTACCCCAGTAAATCTTTTGTTGGGTTCAACAGGAACTGTCTTCTGGGATTTAACAAAATGCACTTAAAGAGTTGATTTATTTCATTCAAACTCAGGGATTCAGAAGAGTGGGGCCCCAGTCTAGCAGACTGTTGCCTCTGCTAGGATGTGTGTGTGGGAAGGAGGTGTGTGTTTGGAGGGAGAGAGTGACTTTGTAATAGCCCCACAGAGATGGGCTGAAAACAGATGAGCTCACACTTACAAAGGACTTTCTCATCTTCTGGTCATTGGTGTCTTTGACAGGTCTTCAATCATGTGTTCTATAACCATGACACAGGACTGATTGAAAAAGAGGTTTGTCACTATTAGTCCCCTTTTTGCCCTTCTTGATCAGTCATTCCCCCCCACGTGTCTTGCAGAAATGATGAAACTCTTTGGAAGATGTGTTTTCTTTTCCTACCCTGGACCTCATCTTTTTAGGATTTAAATACTACTTGCCTTTTGATCATCTTGAATCAATATTCTTCCTCTTCTATGCTTATAAATATCAGTTCCAGAATCTCACTGATGAACTAAATTATTTGGATGGGGGGAGGTTATCTCTTAGGAATTGATTCTTTCTATACCCTAGAAACTATCTCATCCTTCAATCAGTTTCCTTAAACCTACCAATTTTTTAATAATAACAATAATAGCTAGCATTTATATAGCACTATAAGATTTGAAAAGTGCCTTATAAATATTATCTCATTTTATCCTCACAGTCACTCTGGGAAGGAGGCAGCTATTCCTAAGGTGGTTATTACAAAGGACAAATTTTAAGAATTTTAGCAAAGAAAAAAAAATGTGATTATACACAGCACTACCTCTTTTAGGCTTCTGATGCCCTCAGCTTTATTCAATTCAATTCAACAGGAATTTACTTAACACCCACTATGTGCCAGGCACTGTCTTAAGCACTAGGGACACAAAAACAAAAACTGAAGGCAGGATTTTATCTAAACCCTAAAAGGGTGAATTCCAAGACAATGAGATGCCTAGGGGGAGTATCTAAGGGATGGAGATAGCTTGTATAAAGGTACATAGAGAAATAGTGAGGACCTGATTAAAAAGATAGAGCTTATTTGCCTATCCCTATTCTACAGATGAGGAAACTGAGGCAGAGATTAACTGACTTGCCCAGGATCACCCATTTAATTGTGTCTGAGGTTGGATTTGAACTGAGATTTATCCTAACTTTAAGTCCAAAACTCTATCCATTGTGCCTTGTAGCTTCCTGGGAATCATTTGAGAAAAGCTTTTCAAAAGTAACCAGTAGTGTACAGGTATTCTGTAACCAATGCAATAAAAATACTTTAAGACTACCTACCTAAGCTCCACAATTTACAGTAATATTAACATCTTGCCAATTTTCACAAGGTCAGTACCAACTAACAGGTTACTTCAAGAATGTGGATTGTATTTCTTTTAGCCTCTGTGCAGGCCAAAAAGGAGAGCAGGCTAGTAAAAATAAATTTTGCATTTGTCAATTTTAAGGTTCTGATCTGCAAACCTGCTTCAAAGGAATCCTCCGGTGATCCTTTATGAACTCATTTCAATAAGTTGGTGGATCTATTATGTTTATTGGTGTAGGAGCTCCCTCTACAGATGCAGAGCAGAACTGCACTCCACCTCTTTCCCCTTCCCATGTCCTTTCCCTCTTCCCCAACTCCACCCCAACCTGAGTAGACTACATTCATGAGTTTCTCTGACTGAAAAACCCAACAACCTGCAGCAACTCTAAGGAGAAGCCTTTATGAAGCCAGTCGTCAGACATGGGGTCTCCAGTCCACTGCTAACCCATGCTTCAGAAACTTTCTTCTCTGCTAGGACCTACCTCAGTTGGGGCTTCATTTACACGGACTTTGGAAACCCAGGGTCGCTTTGGTAGAGGATACAGAATATGGGCTGTGGATGTCTATGTTTGCCCTTAAGGAAAGGAAGTGAGGAAAATCAGAGGCTAGAGACATCTCAATAAAGAAAGCTTAAAATTAATTTTCAAAACACACGCACATAAAATGCAGAGTCTACTTAGAATGGCTGTATTATTCTTGCCTGTCCAGGAAGAATAATACAAAATACCCTAAGTAGACTATACATTTTATATACATGCCAAGAAAAGTTAAGTTCCATTAACAGGAGTTTCACAGGAAAGAAACATTTTTATTCCTCTATCACATTTTACAAAGCAACTTTTAATTAAAGGACCTTTAAACATTATTCTTCCTGTTCACACATTTAGGACCAAGTATCCTAAAACAAAATAAATCCCATTTCCTGAATTATTTCTTGCTCATAACCGCACAAAAAAGAGGCTCTTTTACATATGTTCTCATAGTTCTTTCTAATATTCTCAGTTGCTGTTCATTTGCAAAGTAAAATAAGCACCTTTCTTTGTCTTCCCCTCTTACCTCCAAGGAGCCTTTTCACCTTTACATATGATTACCATTTTCTCCAATGATCCTTCAAAATTTCATCCACTGTAGGCTGCATGTATTTGTAATGGTACTAATAATTAGAAAATAATATCCACTATCCTCACTTGAAAAGTCAGATTCCCAAAATAATGTTCCTTATCATAAGAAAATAATATTTCTAGTGTAGGGGTTCTTAGTCTGGGGTCAATAAACTTGGTTTTTAAAAATACGTATTTTGATAATTATATTTCATTGATTTCCTTTGTAATCTTTACTATTTATATTATGCATTTAAAAACATTATCCTGAGAAGAGGACCATGACACTAAAAAGGTTAAGAAAGCCTATTATCTGGCCAATGTCTTAAGTTTAATGCCTGGTTCTCTCTCCCCAATATTCTTTAAAAGTATACTTTTCTCCTTGGAGAGTTGCAAATTACAGATCTCTAACACTTTGAGGACTTCTATTTTGAGGGCTCCCCTGTGAACAAGTGATTTACTTTAACAACATTCAAGCATCTACTCTTAGTTTAACCTTGTCATGTTTATGATACAGGTTAATTTGCTAATGACTGGCTAATTTTATCCCAGCTTGTAGAAAGTGGGTAAGTGCTTGGTTCAGGTTTCAGGAGACATTTTGTGGCTGCTATCTCTCCAGGACAGGAGTAACTTCTACTCTGTGGGATGGTAGTGAACAGAAGACATTGACCAGTAAGCAAGTTTCCATTTTGAATTTCTCTCAGTTCTCAGAGTTAGACCTTGTCAGTCCCCATATATCTGTAAGTCTTATAAAGGCCAATGTGGCTGCCACAGCACAGCACGTAGGTTGATTCAAGTTCCTTTAACAATCAGGTCCTCCCTATAAGGTGATGTCCAAAAGTACCCTCCATTTTCTGCAGCTGAAGAAAGAAGGGCACGGAGAACTGAAACACCAGACAATTATTAAAGGCCAAACAGGAGGAGGAGTCAATGTAAGGGTTTATAATACAGCTAAAAAGTAGTTGTAGACATAGATTGCATACATAAAAAATGGAAATGGAAACCTTAAAAAGCACAATGGTGGTCATGCCTGAAAAAGGAAGAAAAGGTAAAAAAAAAAAAATTGGTATAACCTTAAAGATAATGTAGGGAGGTAGGAAAATGGGCATCTCTACCAGAATTAAAAATGGAAGCTAGGGCTTTCAGAGTGAATATGCGTGGAAAATGGAGAACAAAATGGTTTCTACTTTGGGCAAGTTTTATATTCCTGGAGAATGAAGTAAGATGCAACTTCCTTGAGGGAAAGGATTGTCTTGATTTTGTCTTTGTGACTCCCACACCTAATAGTGCCTTTGGTCCAGATCTGGGAATGCATTAGCATACAGTAAGAAAGATATGGAAACTCCCTACACCACTACAGATTAGCAACTGATTTATAGTTTATAGTCTCAGAGTTGCCTGGAATGCAGAGATTAAGTGATTTCAGCCCATTATCCCACAGCTAGTATGTGTCAGAGGTCTTAACTCGAAATACCGAATACTACCATTCTCCAACTCACTGGAGCTAACATAAATGGCACTCAGCCAGACTCTTAAAAACGCACTGAGAGTTCTCATCAGTTTTAAAGGAGGCCTCTGCAGTTGGGACCTACTGTCGATTTCAGAACTTTAGGAGTTAATCTTTTTATAACAGCTGTTCTTGAAACTCAAAACCAGGCTGTTCCAGGTAGTTGCAACTAAAATCCCCCTCCACCCAAGTAATAACCAACTTTGCTGACCAGAAACTTGCCATGCCCCTAAACCTCCAACAGGAAGAATCTGACCCTTAAGCAACATTTTAATTAACTCACTCCTAAAGAAGCACTAACCCTCCCTAATGGGAAACTCTCAGTAATATTCAATGAGAGGTACTCCCCTTGATGATAATAGACCAGAGGAGTGCTGACAAGCTTCAGCCACACTAGAGCTGACCACTCCCAAGCTCTGTCTGATCTCCTAAAATAGCCCTTATGATAGACCCAGTAAGAAACGATCCTTCTTTCCCTTTGCCCTAAGAAAGCTAAAGAACTCTCCAAGGGGAGTGGCCACTTCCTTCTGATACCTGATCCTGGCTGTGAGGTCACAGTTTCCTCATAAATAAGAAGTCTTGTGAGAGGGAGGACTCCACTCAGGGACAAGAGCAGCCCTCAGCTCACTTCGCCAGCTTCTCAACATCTCCATCATGGTGGGTCTGACCAAGAAATTATTTTTCAATCCCCTGGTGGACTGCTGATGAGATAGGGAAGAAAGTCAAGCAAGAAAGTCGCAGTTAGGTTGGGGAGGTTGGGTAAGGGGTAGGGTGGAATGAGGCAGGAGGGGGTGGAGAGAAGCAGCCAAGTAGGTCAGATTTTTATTTGCCTCTTGAGGCTAAAGCAGAGGGAAAAGGATATTTTTAATTGTCTTGAGTTGTTTCGTCCAACCATACTTGGGTTAGTCCAATAGTCACAGGACAAATGATTAAATGGAATTGCATTTGCCAGGCAAGATGATGGCCATTTGTATCTGAAATTAGAAGTCAAGAGCAGCTCTCACTAGAAAACCATCTATCCTAAAATTTGATCCTATGATACTAATACTTATTATTTGGATAAGTGCCTTTTAATGCATTGGATTTATTGTCTGTCTTAATAGAAAATGTCCTAGTTAAACAGTGATAATGCTTCAAAACATCCTCTTAATGCTGCATGTCTAGGGCAAAACCTTAACTGAGCACTGAAACACTTTGTTATTCTAGGGAGCATTTATTTCAGCATTTGATTAAGCATTGATTCACTATTTGAGTTCCAGGCACCATTTCCCCTCAGTTGTCTATTTCATAGTCTTAAAATTCCTAGATGTAAAGGCTACCCTCCACCCCCAAGGTAGTACTTCTCAGGTGATAGCAACCTGCCTCAATGCAGACTACATTCGAGACCTTTTGTGTTTAAGAGACAAAATAAGAGAGTACTCTTGATTCTGTCAATGCATTTTCAACAATTATTAGCTGTATCTTTTCTTTTTCTTCCTCTCTTCACTGCAGTCCTTCAGTGCTGACCAAATCGCTGGTAAGTGCAACAAAACCTCAGTTTCTCTAGCCCTTGGGTGAAATGATAATGTCTCACCCCCCAAGTCCTAGCTCTTCACTAACCTTCAAGGCGTTTTGCTTCATGCTGTTCCTATTAATATCTATGCTACATGGGAAATCCAAAGAGTGGGCTCATTTGGGAGCCTACTCTAAAGATAGACTCATGGAATCAGCTAGATACACAGAAATATCAGGAACCTGTTTGGTTAAACAGTTCTTTGTGGTTAATGTCTTTCTAACAGATCGAGTTTTCTAAAGAGCAACAGGATGGTAAGTTAAATCAGATTATTGTTGCTGTGGGTGCCCTCCTCAAAAAGGCCTGTGGAAAAACTGACTCTCAGGAAGAGCTAATCTCTCCCTAATTATCCCCTTTAGCCTTGCCTACCAAAATAGGTAGACTGAGCTGAAGTCTTCTCTAAATATAAACATTTAACAAGAGCGAGTCTTAGACTTGTGAGCAGCAGCCAGAAGGTCTTTAGGTGGACAAAAGGGAAATGTTCTCAGCTGGTGGTGGTATCTCATATATTGATTTGTTTTTTTATAAATTAAAGCCAGTCGTCCACAGTATCTACTCAACCAAAATTATTTGGCCACTTGGCTAGTTAACTTCATCATCTAAGACCTCAAAAGAATTTTTAGGAGATCTAATCAATTCAGTTTGACTGCCTAATGTACTCAAGAAATAGAACCACTGCCTTATCACTACTTCTCTTTTCACCTTATAATAATCACTTCCATGCTGGGCTTTGAAAGAAAACGATTTGTTGTATTGTTTGTTTGCTTATGAGGAAAGTCAGCATACTTTCTATCATATCATGCTTGATGTTAAATTAATGACCATGTCCTTCATATAAACAGACATTGGCTGAAACATTCAAGATTCAACTTAGTGAATATTAAAATGTGTTTATGGTGTTCCAGACATACAGTGCTTGATTCTTTGAAAAGAGAAAGAATAAGAGTTTTCTAAAGTCTTCCCTTTTTTGGTTTAACAGATCCATTTCTTGCTTTTCTCTAGAAATTTATGGCTTTTTTTTTCTTTTCATAAAAGAATTTTGTCCAACAGGAATACTAATAATCTTGATGTACTCCTATTTATACAAGGACATACTATTTCTTGACAGTTTTTTGTCATTTTTAGTATTTTCAGGGAACTATGATAATGACATTTTTATCATGGAAATCCAATGAACTGAAAGGGAGACACCTGTAAGATTGGTGATATCCTAGTCTACATGTAAGTTAGAATGACTAGTCATACTGCTTAGTTTTTAAAACTTAATAGCTTATTCATAAAAATGTCTCAAATCTGGGTCTGAAAAATGTTGACGTTTTTGTCAATTCTGACAGAGTAAGGAATATCCCTAGAAAAGCTACGAGTGAATTTACTGGATGACCATAGTTAATGGCCTCATGAAGAAGACATATCAAATTGTCTGATATACAAGCTAACTAGAATTTTAGAACAAAGTAGAAAACGTGTCAGATGCTTTAAAAACATCACTAAGAGATTCTGCTTCCTTTATCTTCCTCTCTCAGTGAAAATGTCACTTTGTTTTCTTAAGACATTTCAATTGAGGACATGACATGGTCTTACTATACTCCTTTCTCCTCTGTGGCCCTCTGTAGTGTCTAACTTGAAATCTAATTATGACTGTTATACCACTATAGGGCTAAGCAGCGAAGCAATTAAAACCCATTTAGGAGACAAAAGGACTAGCTTGGTGTGCATCTCACTACACCTATTAAACGTTTTAAATTTAGAGAAAAAGAAAGACATTGTTCAAAGGGTAATTTTTTTCTCTCATGCCAGGAAGTACAAACTTAAGAATCTTAAATGCTGTGAAAACTATGTATTTCCTTTGATATAATTTCGTTTTGAATCTATCAGGACTGAGCACTGAAGCCTCTGAAAAAATGTAACTAGAAAATGTGCAATATTTATAACATCTAAAGACATTCTGGTTCTTCTGGGGAGGTCCTAGATTCTTAGAGAGACTAGCATTGCTTAAAAAGATTTCCAATTAAAGCAAATTTTTTTAAAATCCAAGAAGGAAACTAATCAGGGAGAGCCTGTTTCTGGTATAAGCATTTAAAGTAGAGAGGGTTAGGTTTGAAACTATCCTATTACAGTCCATAAAACCCTCTTCCTGCATCAGCAATTTGACTACGGTGATAGTGAACCTCCTAAGCAGACTGTATATGGAGGACTAAAACCAGTACCGGAAGACTCCAATTTCACATGTCCATTAAGGAAGATGAAAGACAACATGGTGACTCATGACTTGTGGATCATCTATCAGCGCTTGTAGGGTGTTCTCTTAAAAACGGTCATGGAAATGTTGAGTCCTTTGTTACAAATGCAACACAGTGCCATCTGCTTTAAAACTGTAGATTTCTCTTAAAAGAGTAAAAACTCTCTTAGTCATTGGCCAGTGAATGGTCCGAAACTAATCACCTACCAGGGGCTTTTAGCTTGACAGGGAATGATTGGAGGGACCACGAAGTTTTCTAAAACACTGGTCCAGATAGAGGTAAATTTCAGTTTAAAGGATGGTATTCACACCCTTCAGAAATGTATTGTATTTTTTATAGTGGCATTCACATATGCCCCCCCAAAATGCTTCCTGTCCTTTTCTCCCACTCTCACTGCCTCCAAAAAAGCGCAGATGTGTTTCTGAGCCATGCGTTCTATGACAACCTACTCCAATCCCCTCTTGACATAAATATAGATCTGGCTTAACCTTATACCACTCATTTCTTTGGCTAGTCAATTACACATTCAAGCTCACTTTCTCAAGAGATTGGTGGTTAAAATTATGAATAGAGCTGCATATGAAGTCAAGTAATAATGCTGAGCAGAATAGCAGCTGGGAGCACCATGATGCATAGAGCACAGGGCCTGAGGTCAGGAACTTGATTTCAAATCTAACCTCAGACACTTACCAGTTATATGACCCTGGGCACATCACTTAATCTCTCTTTGCCTCAGTTTCCTCAACTATAAATAATAGTACCTTTCCCAGGGTTGCTGTGAGGATCAAATTATTAATATTTGTACAGTGCTTAGCACAGTGCTTGACACATCGTAAGTTCTACATAAATGTCAGTTATTATTATTATTATTATTATTATTATTATTATTATTATTATAGTCAAGAAGACCTAAGTTTAAATCTAGCCTCAGATACTTACTAGCTATATGACCCTGGGCAAGTCATTTAACCTGCTTGCCTCAGTTTCCACAACTGCAAAATGGCTAATAACACCGACCTCCCAGGGTTATTGTAAGGATCAAATGACATAACATATGTAAAGTGCTTAGCACAATGCCTGGCACATAGTAGGTGCTATGTAAATGCTATGACAATGGTGGTGATGATGATGTAACTTAGTATACTTGAGACGTATATCTGGTATTAGAATATGGCAAACATTTGTTATATGATAAAGGGACAAAATGCAGGAAAAAGTCTATCAAAAAATAATCTGTTTAGCTTTCCAATTAGTTTGTATTTATCCCTAAGGCAACCTAAATCAGTTTGGCTTGGATACTTTGACCTGGGAATTTATAGGCCTCTGAATTTATCACTTGCCTTCAGGAAAACTATTATCCTATTGGGCTTTAATCAGTGAAAGGATGGAGTCCTGGGCCTCAAGAAAGGAGTTTCCCTAATTCCTATATGTTTATCATGAAAATTTTTACTAAGCTTTTATATAACTAAAATCAGTCAATCATTTACAAGAAGAAGAAAAGAAGGAAGGAAGGAAGGAGAAAGAAGGAAAGAAAGAAAAATAAAGGAAGAAGGAAAGAAAGAAAAAGAAAGAAAGAGAGAGAGAGAAAGAAACCTTAACCATTAGTAATAGTGGATTGAGTCCCAAGATTCCTGATATCACCTGTAAAAATAACTCACTGTTATACAGCACTTTGCAATAACAAAAGTGTTTGCCTCACAGTGACTTTGTAAAGTTAGCAATTAAAATTCTATTATGCCTTTATTACGTCCATTTTACAGATGTGGAAACTGACACTCAGTGAAATGATTTGTCTTTAGTCTCACCCCTGATTTGTCTGGTCTCACAGAGCCAGAAGAGGAGTCCACTGCTCTTTAGGGAAACCAACCCATAACTGTTCATCAAAGTAGCAGAGATAGATTAAATGAACAAAAAAGGAATAAATATGGCATGGACTGCCTTTTGCTGAAATAGATAAAGGGAATTTATGAAAAGAGGTTGAAAAAGCAGCAATGTAATCTCCACAGGTAATGACAAGGCAAGTGGGAATATAATGAGGACAGTGATGATATTTGGTACTTGGAGAAAAGTATATCTAAGAAAAAGAGATCTAGAATTTTTTTTAAAGATTAAAACTGTCAGTCTAGAGTAGCCTTGGCCAGAAACATGTATAAGTCATTGTTAACTGATAGATCTGTGGTAGGAAGGAATCCCTGAATAACCTGCCTTCTCTCTTCCTACAGACTTCAAGGAGGCTTTCCTCCTCTTTGACAGGACTGGCGAAAGCAAGATCACATTAAACCAAGTTGGTGATGTGCTGCGTGCTCTGGGTACCAATCCAACCAATGCAGAGGTCAAGAAAGTTCTGGGAAACCCCAGCAATGAAGGTAGGTAATGAAAGCAACATCTCCTAGCAATTGAGAATCTGTATGTTCAGGCCAGGTCAGGCTCCATAGCCTAGGCCTCAACTCTGAGAATAACTGACTTCCTTGTACTGTGGTTTCTCTGTTGATATATTAAGGTGGTCATAAGTGATATGAGGAGTTGTTAGATCTATGATTTAGTCAAAGTAGAGAATTACTTGCATAAAAACTCCTAGCCACAACACAGATCAGCAACATTTATAACTATATTAGCAACCTAAGACACTGAGAGGTTAAATTACTTGCTTGTGGTCTCTGTGCCTGAAGCAGGACTGGAACCCAGCTCATTGGAGCTCTTTCTCCCTCCATCATCATACTGCCTCAATCTTGGAAAATACAGCAGTGAGAACACAGTGGTTTTAGTGACTCATGCAGAGATTTTTTTTTTTAGTATTCATTAGCACTCTTAATATATCACTTCTTTAGCAACCTCCAAAGAATCTGTGACTATAATGAAGAATAGAGGAGATCAGACTTAATAAAAATATCTTCCATTTGTAGAAGATCCCAATGGACTTTGAAATTTGAATTCAGCTATGTTTTTGTAATTTTACAAGTGAAATATAAAATCAATGAGGAATACGTTTTGCAGAATTCAGACCCATTTATTGAGAAATCAGTCACTCAACAGTGATATTTTAGCCATTAGCACAGGGTAGCCATTTAGGGCAACTAGGTGGTAGTCAGCTTCCTCACACGTAAAATGAGCTGGAGAAGGAAACAGCAAGTTACTCCAGCGTAAAGCACTTTACAACTGTTATATAAATGCTAACTGTTATTATAAATTTTGTTGTTGTTCAGTTTTCATTTTTCAGTTGTGTCTGACTCTTCATGACCCCATTTGGAATTTTCTTGGCAAAAATACTGGAATGGTTTGCCATTTCCTTTCCAGCTCACTTTTACAGAAACTGAGGCAAATAGGGTTAAGCGACTTGCCCAGGGTCATACAACTAGTAAGTGTCTGAAGCCAGACTTGAACTCAGGAAATGAATCCTCCTGACTCCAGGTCTTGCACTCTACCCACTGTGCCACTTAGCTGCCCCAAAAAAACACTTTATAAACCTTTAAGTGTTATATAAATACTAACCATTATTATAAATGCTAGCTACTAAACCATCATTAGAATTATATTCAGACTTTCTCTCTCTTCCTACCCACTACCTCCCCAGGTTGAATTTTATCAAGTTAATCATGCTAAAAGTATCAAGAGCATGAGATAAGGTGAGAGAGCAGTGGGTAAAATCTTATTTTTAAAATGCCTTTCTCCTAATTAAACATCTATCTTTGACCATGGAATGATTAGATTAACATAGCTCATTTCTTCAGCATTCAAAACTCAATCTGTTTTAATCTTTGATCTCCAATTTAATTTCTATCCTATGAGAGCACTCAGGAGGAGGGAAAATGTGGTTTATGTGTAGAGATCATTTCCTTCCTCTGTGTATAAATGACTATACCATTTTAATGTTATGTCATCACCAGGCAGGTACTCAAAGTCTGGTGGAGATCATAGATTGCTAAAATATGCCAAAGAAAGCTCTCTCCTCTGCAGGGTTTTGGACTTCAAGAATTAAATCCAGACTTACTTATATTATACTTAGATTTAAAGCTAGAAAGAAACTTAGAGGTCAACTAATTCAACCCTCTTGTTTATAGATTACAAACAGAAGCCAGAGAGGTAGTGATTTCCCTAAAAGTGGTAGGTGATAGAACTAGAATTTGAACTCACCCACCATTCTCCTTCCACTGTACCACACTGCCTCTCAACCTCCTAGCACCTTGTTTCTGTACTTCTTTCTTCAATTCCTTTAAAAAGAAAGCATTTAGACGCACAGTACTTGCTCTGCTTTTCCTTTGTTGTTTTGTTTTATTGCCTCATTCTCATGGTTCCTCCCAATGGTTCTAATCGTTCTTTACATCATAACTAATGGGAAAATATGCTTAGTATAAATGTATAAGTAGAACCTATATCAGATTGTACACCATCTTGGACAGGGGAAAGGAGATGGGGTAGGGGAGAAGAAAATTTAAATTCAAAATCTTACGGAAGTAAATGTTGAGAATTAAAAATTAATTAATTAATCATTTAAAAAAAACCATTTACCACAGCTAGCTGGCGCATAGTAGGGACTTAACAGACAACATCATTTAAAAAGTCCCATTACAAATCAAGTGTATTCCAATCTTTTTTTGAAGTATTACATGTCTGTAGCATCTCAGCAGACCTTTATACTGCTTTCCCATCTAAAAATACTCTCCTATGTAAAAGTTTTATCATCTTAAATGCAGATGAAATAAAGATTGTTGGGGCAGGGGAGGGATTTCAGGTCCCTTATCTACAAACTTGAGCAGCTATTATGGATAGCATAATAGAATAGGGTCATCTTGTGCACCCAGAATTCTGAAACCCACCTTAAGCCGAAAATCTGACAGACCCTGGAGGGTTCATAAATCTCAAAATGGTGACATTTCTTTCAGAGATGAATGCCAAGAAAATTGAGTTTGAGCAGTTCCTACCCATGATGCAGGCCATTTCCAACAACAAGGACCAGGGAAGTTATGAAGACTTTGTTGAGGGTTTGCGTGTCTTTGACAAGGAGGGCAATGGCACAGTCATGGGCGCTGAGCTTCGTCACGTGCTTGCTACCCTGGGTAAGTACCTCTGATTTCCTGAGGCCATCATAAAAGCTAGCTGTGAAGAAGAAAGAGGGAAATTGGGTAAGGGAGACTTGATCAGTGCAGGGAAGGAAAATGTTCCAAAGTATAATTGATGAATAGCAACAGGAGGGAAAAGTCACTGAGAACTTTGACCAGTCAGTCTCCAAATTCTCCTAAGGGATCATCCTGGAATGAGTAAAGGACAAGTCTTAGAAGATAGAAGAATAGAATTTTAATCGTCTTAAATCATAAGAACATAAATGCATTGTGGTATTTATTCAAATATTCAAAAATATTTATTTTATTACCCCTGAAAACTAGAAAGGAGAAGGGGAGCTGCATGAAGGTTCTAAATAAATAATTTCATCAGTATCAGGGAAATCCCAATGTGAAAAATCCTTCCACTAACCTATATTAGACAGTCTTCCGTAACTTAGGGAATTTTTGAGGACCCTATGGGTTTAAAAGACTTGCCCACAGTCACATAACCAGATTTGTCAGAGGCAGGATCTGAATGTAGGTCTTCCTAACTCCTAGAGCAGCCCTTTATGCACTAAACCACTCACATAACCTCTCAAATTAGCATTATTAAGTGAAATTAGAAAGGCAGGTTGGAATGCATTAGGAAACTGCTTTCTGTCCTTATTTCTAAACAGCTACAATTTTTTTTTCTCTTCCAGGTGAGAAGATGAAGGAGGAGGAGGTGGAAGCCCTGATGGCAGGTCAAGAAGACTCCAATGGCTGCATCAATTATGAAGGTAGGTCCCGGAATGCTTTTTTTGTTGGCATAATAATAATGGTGGTGATGATAGCTATGCTATCATTTAGTAGATAGTACTTTAAGGTTTGCAAAACTTTTTATAAACATCTGATTTGATCCTTACAACAACCCTGGGAGGTAGGCGCCATTTTATAGTTGAGGCAACTGAGGCAGACAGAAATTAGAAGTGTCTATATTATCTCTTACTTCATGATGGGTCTATGTCCTTGGAATGGAAAATGACTGGTTTCCCTGGGCCTTTTTGCTCCCATTTACTTGATTTGTAATTTACTATATAATAACAAATTGCATAGTTTATTACTTTCGAGAGCCATGGCGATGTCAAGGGAAAACAACTTAAAAAAAGAAAAGGCCTCCAACACATTGAGTAAACCACCTGTGGCAAATGCATGAGAGAACACAGGCAGGAGTCACACAGAGTAGGCATACACTGATTCCAACAAGTTCCAGTCTGTATGGTTGGAAGCAACATCCAAATTCATGACACTCCAGAGCCATTTGAGAGTTGGTTATAAAAGACTGAAGTAGGGATTATATGATCACAGGTAAGATCCTCACCAGTACACACCAAAAGAAAATACTGTTTGAATAATGGCACTCTGAGTTTAAAAAAAAAAAAGTTTCCTTAAAGTGGCAAAGTATCTTTCTGTTAGAGGCAGCTGGGGGCAATGGTTAGAGCACTGGGCTTGGAATCAGGAATACTCATTTTCATGAGATCAAATCTGGCCTCAGCATTTACCAGCTGTGTGAACCTGAGCAAGTCACTTAATCAGGTTGGACTCAGTTTCCTCATCTATAAAAGGAGCTGGAGAAGGAAATGGCAAACCACTCCAGTATTTCATCCAAGAAAACCCCAAATGGGGTCACAAAGAGTCAGACATGACTGAACAAATGCTAACTACTCTAGAGGCATATTGAAGCAGCTTCAGCCATATCTGAATATAACCTAATGCTCATTTCAGAACTGGACAGCATCTTGGTGGTCCTTTAATGCAACACCCCAAAAAAATCCTCACTATGACACATTCCAAAGGTGGTCTTTCAGGCTTTTGGGGGAGACTCACTACCTATCAACAGCATCCCATCCCACTTTTGGCTAGTTCTAATTGCTAGGAAGAGTTTTTGCTTTTTTTCTTTACGTCGAACTTAGATTTGCCTTTCAACAACTCCTGCTATTGCTGCTAGTTCTGCCTTCAGGAACCAAACAGAATTTAATAATAAATAACAATAGTAATATAATAATAAATGATAAAAAATAAAGAAAGAATAAAAAGTAGTATAATCTTTCCGGTACTTGTAGACAGTTATTGTCTCTTCTCTTCTCCTGGATCAACATCCTCAGTTCCTTTGACCATTCCTCTTTTGACCCAGACCAAAGGATCTTTTGCCATTCTAATGGCACTCCTCTGGACATTCTCTCATTTATCAATGTCATTTTTGAAAAATCATATCCAGGACAGAATATAGTACTCCAAAAGTGGTCTTACTAGTGCAAGAGTAGAGTGGGATTATTACTAATTTCATTACCTTTTTTGGCTTCCTTAAGAAACGGTCCTCCCAAAATCTACATCATTGAGTCTGGAGGCCAAAAAGATCTTTCAGACAAACTGCTAAATATAGTATATGAAGTTATTTTTTTTTTCCAGAGCCCAGGTGTAATACCTTACACTTATCCCCATTAAATTTCACCTGAATAGATTCGACACCATTTTCTAGTCTGCCAATTTTTTTGGATCTTGACTCTCCCCTCCAGTATGTTATTGATATCTCACAGAATTGTGTCAAATTTGCAAATTGGATAAGTCTGCCACCGTTGCCTTTATCCAAGTCATTATAAAAATGTTGAAACATACAGAGCTACTCTACTAGAGTCCTTTTGCCAAGAGGCATTAATGACTTTTCTTTGAGTCAGACCATTCAACCATTTACAAATCTAATTGTATTGTCACTTAGCTCCCATCTTTCCATATTTTCCACAAGAATAGCAGGAAAACTGTGTTTATTAACTGCTTGAATCTGGGAAGCTTGTATCTGCAGTAGTCTTCTGATCTAGCAGTTTAGTAACTGTCATAAAAGGGAAATAAGTTTGGCCTGACTTCATTTGTCCTTGATGAAGTTAGGCTTGCTCTTTGTGGGGGCATCTCCTTTTTCAGATGTTAACTAATTATCTCTTAATTTCCTGGAAAAATTCTAGACTCCATTATTAAACTCCAGCTCCTGGCCTGTAGTTTGCAGACTCTGTTCTTTACCTTATTATTATTATTATTATTATTATTATCATTATTATTTTAAATTTGGACATTTCCCCTTCTCCAATACTGCAGTACCTACACAGTTTTCTATAGTTTTTCAGGTATTACTGATCACACCCATTGGTATTTTCATTAACCAAGGGTGTAACTTGTTTACTTGTTCAACACTTCATAAACACCTACTATCTACCAATGGAGAATCAAAGACAGAATTTAACAGCCCCTGACCTCAAGGAGTTTACATTCTATTTGAGGCAATATACACAGAGGAGTAATAACAAAGTAATTTCCCAAGGGGAGAGTGCTAACATCTCTAAAACCTCATAGAAGGTGGTGCTTAGCTGAATCTGGAAATAGGGATTCAAAAAGGCAGAGGCTCAAAGGGAATGCACCATAGTCATCTCTTCACCTGTGCCAAGGTCCAGAGGAGGAAAGGGGAATGTCACGTCCAAGAGGCAAGTAGCATAGTTTGGTTGAAACATAGTGTGAAGGAAAATCATGTGTAATAAACCTGAGAAGGAAGGCTAGAGTCAAATTTTAAAGGGCTTTAAAAGTCAAATAGAAGAGTTCACATTTCATACTAGAGACAAGAAGAAGCCATTAAAACTTTTTGAGCACGGAGGTGACAAGGTCAGACCACTGATTTAGACATGTTGATTTGACAGCTACATGGAAAACAGATTGGAAGAGGATGAAACTAGAGGTTAGTTGGGTTGGGCAAGTAACCAAAGGGCAGTTAAGTATTCTCAGATTATCTCCTTACTTATCTTGGGTATCAATTCCCTATTAGCCATTTGTTTGACCATTTGTTCTGTTCTTTCTAGTCCAGAGGTCATTTTCCTTGGCAGAGAAAACAGAAGTAAAATAACAATTAAGTTCTCCCTCCCTCACTCCCTCTCTCTCTCTCTCTCTCCCTCTCTCTCTCTCTTTCTCTCTCTCTCTCTCTCTTTCTCCCTCCTTCTCTTTCTCTCTCTCTCTCTCTCTCTCTCTCTCTCTCTTTCTCATCAGTGACCACTAGTCATCCAAGCCAACCAGAAATCCACTCCTTCCTTTGAGCTTTCTTTTCTAAATATAGCTTGGAAAAAAACAAACAACTTAGCTTTTCCTGGATGGTCTCTGTTCATCCTGAGCTTTACCACTTTTTAAGCTGTTCTTATGGATCTACTTCACACTCATTATTCATCCTATTACCTGCCCCTGCACACATCTTCTGTGTGTATATATACCTACACATATGTTTATCTACATATATGTTAATTGGTAAGTTTCTTGTACATCCACACCAGACTCTTTGGACAACTCCTGGTTTTCTTCTTCAATAGAATTGTTTTCTCTTCATGTCCTCTTAACTTTATGCTGAAAAATTTCCCATCCCTCTCAGATTGACTTCCCCTGTATCATTTTAAAGAATGGGATCATATCAATCCTTCCAGTAAACTGCTTAAAATCTGTCCTCCCAAAACCTACAGTGCATGTCAAACTATACCTGAATTTCCTCTCTTCTAACACAAATGCTGGGCATTGAATGGTCACTTCCTGCCTCCAGTCAGATTACCTTGCTCTCTTTTTTTTCCTCTTTAGTAAGAATCAGACCTAGAATTGAATTTTGCCTTGTTGTTTCCTTTATCTTTTGGAAGGATGAAATTACTTTCAAAGCAAGTCAGGAAATTATTAGCTAGTCTGCTTCTCTGACAGAACTCCAGCAGATATCTGGATCGTCTATGTTCCCTATCCTTACTATGTCATGACTCTTTTCCAGGCTTCTGATATTTCCAGAACTCCTCATCTATTTCTTCTTTCTGTAGAAGTAGTAGTCTGTAGCACATTCTGATGGCAAAACCACTTCTCCCAAATGCTGATACTGTGCTTTTCTTCCCCAAGTTCATAATTTTATTTTCTCATGAAAGCATATCTTCTTAATATATATTGCTACCTTGTTTCCCATCCCTTCCCAATTTCTTACCAAATCATATGAATGAGGTACACCCCTCCAGAGTCATATTCCAATCATAGGTCTTATCCCACCAAGGCTGTGACAGCCATGAGAGGTCAAATCTGCATTCTAATTCATTTCATCTTGTTCTTGTTGTTCAGTCTTTTCAGTCGTGGCTGACTCTGTGATCCATTTGGGGTTTTCTTGGCAAAGATACTAGAGCAGTTTGCCATTTTCCTCTCCAGCTCATTTTACAGATAAGTAAACTGAGGCTAATAGGGTTAAGTGACTTGCCCAGGGTCACACAGCTAATAAGTGTCTGAGGCCAGATTTGAACTCAGGAAGATGAGTCTTCCTGACTCCAAACCCAGCACTTTATCCACTGTGCCACCTACCTGCCTCTCACTTCATCTCAGTTGTTGCCTTTATGTTTTGTATTTATGTATAGACATTCAAGGCTATGTATATTACAACTAATAACTCCTTCTGTTGATTTTTTTTATCTCCTGTAAAAAAACTGGGTAACTCAACTGCTATTCTCCCTATATTCCAGCTACTCTTCATGGTATCTAGCTTGCTGCATGTACACAAGTAGTTTCCTCCTTCCCCCAGCCTCCTTGTCTTTTCAATTTAAAGCCTTTTTGATTAAGGCTTTTGATTAGATTTGCAAGGCATAAGGCAATTACATTCTTATCAGGCTTTTTTAGGTATACTCCAGGTGTCTTGTCACGTCTTTATTCTAAACCATACAACAGAAATCCAAATCCCATTATCAGCTGTTCATTTCTGTATTAACAGCCTTCCTATAAATACATATTTTTCAAGCTCTATATCTTTGTGAAATGAGCCTGGATTAAAACGTAACATGTATTTTAAATACATGCATATGTCTAAGATTCACCAAGGCTCGTATTCTAAGGATACTAAGCTTGGTAACTGCCTATTTAGATAAAAATAATGCCAACTTGGGAGGTTCAGTCTTACTAATGATAAAAGATACCTATGTATTAAACTTCCTAGTCTCATAGCAGAAAATAATTAGGATTTAGCAGATTGTGCATAAACCTTTTATGAAACTTTAGTAATTCTCTAACACTACGTTTGTATTATTCCACAGCCTTTGTCAAACACATCATGTCCATATAAATGGAACTCTCCAGGTAAAATAGCATCCCTTTAATCTGCATGATTTATTCGACTTTGTCTTTTGTTTGAGGATTACATCCCCTACGGATATAATTAAGTTGGTTCCAATTAAGAACCACTACCCAAGAATGCCAGTTATTTGATACAAATGTATTATGACCTATAGTTTGCATTTGGGTCTGCCTGAAAATATACTACATGTTCTTTTCTTTTACATTTCTTAGCTTTCACCACATAAAGTGAAGCTTGCTGTTGGTTAACGTCTTTAGTAAAAGCATAGTGCTTTAAAAATCGTGGATTTAATACTGACGTAGGTCAGATAATTTGGTTGTAGCCCCAAACTGTGCCCACATTAACCAAAGGCTTTCCCCTCTTTGCCAAAATTAAGATATCTAATTGGTCATTAGGGGTACCAGCTTAAATACATGACAACTGTTTAAAAAAATTAAGCAAACCCTGAAATATTAATAATATACCTATGAAGTACTTCCAATCTAAAGACAAATGTATGAGGTATGAGAGACACTGGTTAGTATATATAGACTATGCACTGCTCCTTCCTTTGAGGCACTTGCAAACAGGTGAGGGTTGGGGTAGGGAGAGAAGTGTCACATACACAAATAACTAGCATCCAAAATAATACAGGCTAAGTGCATAAAAGCTTATCTTCCTGATGATAGCTCAATGGTGCTTTTTCCCACTTATGAAGGATGACACATAAAAGACAAGATTGGAAACTTTTAAAACTCTTAAGCACTTCTCAGTCTCCAGCACCATTTTGTTTCATACTGGATTTAATAAGCATTTTATTAAGAGCCTTCTCTAGGCCTGCCAAGGCATTTACAGTGATAATACAAAGACACCCAAGGTACTACTATCCTTGAGGTCTATGGGCTATGTTTGAGCAGGACAGATAAGAATAAAAAGGCAAATAATGAAACCGCAGGAGAGAATGGGAGTATTAGGTGAGTGGTACAAAGGGGGTGTTTTCATGGGCCGAGAGGGAAAGACACTGTCTCTGTTTGGAATAGAGGGGAAGGTGGCATTTGAGCTCAGCCTTGAAAGATAGGTAGGATTTCAGCAGGGAGATGAGTGGGGATAACATTCCAGGAAAAGGGAATTGGAGGAACAAAGTATGGAGTTAAGGAGAATTAACATGATAATTAATTAAGAAGTTTCTACAAAAAGTTATATCTTAATATTAAGAGTTGCATGCCCTAGATAAGATTACCAGAATTCAATTGATTATTCAAAAGCAAAAAAAAAAAAAAGAATGAGGGTCACCACAGCCAGTAGATGGTGCAAGCCTTATATACAGGAAGACTTGGAATCAGGTCTTAGATCTGTTGATAGCTACTAGCCATGTGATGGTGGAGCAGCCACTCAACCTCTCTCAGAGTCCACTGGCAATTTTAAGATTACAAATTGCAGATGAATTGGGGATCTGTATTGGTAGAAGGAATTTCAACACTAGGAGTTTCCCCAACTAAGTTAAATAAATAATTAAATCATAAGCCTGGATGAAAAACAAAACTGTTTTCAGGGTCTGTTGGTGCCTTAATAGCTACTCATTTCTGTGATATACAAAATGGAATCACAGTCTAAGATTATGGATTTCTGAGAAGCGCTAATTTCATAACCAAAAAGCCCTTATCTTGTCTAAGGTTACCTTCCTGTTATTCTACCTAAGTCACATAATTACCTATTTATTTATACGTCTCCTCCATTAGAACACAATTATCCCTCCCACATCACAGGGAGCAGGAGCACAGTGCCCCCAAGATCTGGAAAATCCACATAAAAATTTTGACCCTCCCTTTCTACCAGAGAAGAAATCTGAATTTTTTCTTTTCCTTTTATGGGGTATTTACAGTACTTTAATGTAAAATTTGGGTTGATAGTATATAATACTATACATAGATTTTATGCATTTCTGAGTTTCTAAACTTTTTCTGTGTCATCTGCTGCATCCACAAAACTCCCCCAAAATTCCCGTTTAATTTCTTATGCCCTGTGATATATCAAAATTTCGATGGGGAAAGTTACAATGTAGAAGGCATAAGTGTAGAAGTTCCTTGAGGGCAGGTTCTGTTTTGCTTTCTGTATCCCCAGGGCTTAACATCCTCAGTGCCTAGCACATAGTAATATGCTTGTTGATTTTTAGAAACAAATTACTTTCTCACCTACTCTCAAGAATGCCCATCAATTGTTGCTTTTTTTTTCCTTTGTTAGAAAAAAGAAAGCAGTACAAATCTAACTATTTTTTCCCTTCTTAACAGAACAAGTGATCTTTATGAAGACTGACTGGAAACTAAGTCATGAATTTTAGGAACATTCAGATTCAACTTTCCAGATCAGTTGACCAACAAGGCAGGAAAAACCAAAGGAATTTGGACTATATTATACTGAAGGCCTCCCCAATTTTTTATGTACCTTCAAGTTTCCTTCTCAGTCCTCAAGTTATATTTCTACTGCACAAGTCAAATGTTTGCAGCAGCAAACAACCTGGACAAAGTTTCTACAGGTCTCAAGTCTAAGTTATCTCTCTTACCATGCTATCCACCATGGGTAAATGTGTACCCTTGAAAGAATCTAACAATCAATAAATCACTTTGGTCAGTCTCTGGTGGTGATGTTGTTTTTGTTTTTCTTGTCATGTTCTGAAGGCAAAGAACAAAACTGAGTCTTTTTATTCCAAGAAATATACAGAATAAGGATGCTATCAAACCCTTTCTAGAAGGGCAATTTGTTTTCATCTAAATCTCCAAAAGGAAAAAGAAAACTGGGGCAAAGAGATGACAGAAAAGGTAGATCCAAGTTATGCCTCCAGTGGCAAAGTAAAGTTTAATATGGAGGTAATTCAAGGTCATTGATAAAATGTCTTCTCCCTTCTAGGTTAAGCTTAAGAGGGTTGTGGTAGTGGGTTTTCCAGTATTTGAAGGTGTCACGTAGAAAAGGGGGTTACACTTGTTCTCCTTTGTTTCCATAGGGCAGAACTTAGAGCTGTGGGTGGAAATTTCCACTCAATGTAAGGAAAAATCTTCCCAAGGGTATGATCTAAAAGTGAGTAGGTGCCCTTCGGAGGTGGAGGAATCTCTTCTACATGAAACCTTCAAGTCACTCTGTCTGGCCATTTACAGGGGCAATTCTTGGCCAGATATAGGCTAGATTAAATGGCTTGAGCCCATCCAACTCTGTGTTTACACAAAGAATTTTCGTTTAAAATATCCAAGCAATTAAGACAAAAGTAGATTTCTTGTATCTTGTCTAAATAATGCTACCATTTGTCTTATTTTTTTAATTTTTATTTTTGCTTTGCCAGTAAAGTTCTGGACCTCTTAAAAGTCCTCAAGAACTTTTAATCCCTCTTATTGTCCTTGAGAGATATAATTTAACATATATCTTCAGCTATTTTCTCCATTCCCTTGTTTCTCATTTCTGACTGTCTTTTTTTGTCTCTGTTTCTGTCTCTCTGTCTCTGTGTCTCTCTATCGCTACCCTCCCTCCACCACCACTGACAGAGGAGATTATGGTGCAAAAGTTTATTATTTCACTCATCTTTAACTCCCTCTCACGATATGTTTTTGTTTCCTTCTTTAGCACAGAATCAGCTTTTGAAATTTAATAGTTTGAATACTTAGGACAGCTGAAGTGATTAATGGCTTCCCAAAAAGGAAATGTCTCCATGACATCTGGGATTATAGAGCTCTAGAAATCACTTTCCTGCATTTGTCTCTTTGGGGAGCAGCTTTTTTCCTACTATTTGGGCCACTGGCCAACTTGGTGTTCCTGCCTTTGATGGCAGTGCCCCTCAGGTTTTTGTGATCCTTAAATTTCAACTATGCACTATACTGTTGTGGCCAGGACATTATTGGAACGCGAAAACAAGTTCATAGTGATAGTTCAGATAAACTAAATTTAAAGCAAAATTGGAGAAAGACAAAGAAAATTTCATTTTGAGAAGCATCTGACAATAAAAAGGGATGATAAGAAAGTAAATCTTACTCCCTACAGAGCACTGTGGGCTTTTAACAGAAACTTACCAGTGGCAAAAGACCCATCCACTAAGTTTAAAGTATTTACAAAATGTCTCCCATGCTACAACCTATTCTACAACTTCAATCTGAAAGCTGGGCTATCTATTCAGGTTGCAAATTTAAAGGTCTCTAGTTTTAGGTATAGACCCTTTTCCATTGAGACCTTATAAAACTACATTAATCCCCCAGTGGAGCAACAGCTTGTGCTATTACTGTGTGACCTAACCTTATTAAATTACTGGATCTGAAATAGCCATAACTCAAGCAATAGCAGGTGCATCCGAGAGGAAGAGTTGGGACGCTGATGATAATTTTTAACATCGACACCAGCTGGAGCAAACGACAGGTGCGAGGCTTCCAGTTCTTTAAAAAATTTTTAACTCTTGGTGAACAGGCAAACATTTCCTAGCATCTTTGAAAAATGTCTTTGAGGGTTGGACAAGGTCCCTTCTAACTCTGAAATTCTGTGTTTTTGTGAAGGAACTTTCGGGCAACAAGAAACTTACTTGCTACTTCTTTAAATGAAAGAATATCACTTAAACTTTCCTGGTCCTGAGTATCTTTAACTAAAATGAGTGTTAGATTACCTCCAATGTCCTTTGTAATTCCACATCTATGATCCTACAACAACCCACTTTGCCTCCTAGGATTATACTAGTGCTTAGTATCATGCAGGACATTTAGTAGATACTAAATAAATACTTGTCAATTGCACTAATGAATCAAAAGTGATAAGTAAAAGTGGCCTTGGGGGAAAAAATATAACAGTATACACAAAAATATGAAAGCTTTATTAATGCTTCCAACATAGTACTGTTTGTAAAAGTAGAAATTATTTGATGACTATATATGAAATACAACCATTGGTTGTACAATTAATCTATTAACAAACAAAGGGTATGCTAGATCTTTATTATGACTATAAAACTGGGACACCAATTCTAACCAGTGGCTCCCCAGAAAGGCAATACCAGGTTCAAGGTATTCCATGGATTCACGTGAAATCCTACCAATGTGTTTACATTTACTAGTGAGCCAGAGGAAAATAATAGTTGAAAGTAAAGGCATTTAAGGAAATAACATAGTTTTAGAAAAAAAAAAGGAGTAATAGAATGTCCCCAACCCTATAAACTAAATGTGAATACCATCTGCAGGAAGACTAAGGACACACATTGGCAACATGTGTGTCCAGAGCAAACAAATAGAAGGTCAGTTCACACCTCTGATGTTTTAGGGTTACTATTTGTTGTTCAGTTATGTCCAACTCACCATGATCCCATTTGGGGGTTTTCCTGGCAAAGATGCTGGAGTAGTTTTCCACATCCTTCTCCAACTCATTTTACAGACGAGAAATTAAGGCATACAGGGTTAAATGACTTGCCCAGGGTCTAAGGCCGGATTTGAACTCATGAAGATGAGTCTTCCTAATTCCAAGCCAGTGCTCTATGTTCTGGGCCATCTAGCTGCCCCCAAAGTTACCATAGTCATTTGCTAAATGATACAACTTTCTACTGCACTGGTTCTGTGGATCATCACAGTCTTTACTGTTCTTGTAGTTCTGAGATTCTCTCAGCTACCACCTTCTGGGTTTCATCTCCAAACAGAACCTTCAGTCTCCCTCAGCTCCCATCTAATAAGGTGAAGTGATTAGAAAGTCTCTTCCAGACTGATAGGTCATTGTTCATAGCTTTGAGCCACCACACCCTGCCAAGGGCAGTGGAACAAAACCCTAATCCAGTGTCCCCTACCTTGGATAAGATTAAGTCTACTCTTTTAACTATCCTCTTCCAATATCTTTGGCCCATGTCTCAGTTTGAAAGTAATGGATTGTTCCCTTTAACTATTCCTAATTGTGAAGTTCAGTTCTTATCCAAATCCTTTCTCAAAGGGTTACTTTCCAATAACCCCCAAAGAACAGGTATTAAATATCTCTATCTAAACCAATAGAGATAGAGATATGTTGTTGTTGTTCAGTCCTTAGCTGACTCTTCAAGATCCCATTTGGGGTTTTCTTGGCAAAGATACCAGAGTGGTTTGTCATTTCCTTCTGTAGCTCATTTCACAGATAAAGAAACTGAAGCACCTAGCTGCTCAGATATTAATATAAAATAAGGCATTGTTATTCTCCCTTTTGCCCCCAAATCTTATGGTTCTCTCAAGCAACTAAATGGGTGTGGGGGAAAAGGGGAAAAAAATAGGTGGAGCAGGGCTACAAAAAGGCTATTGGTATGCATTTTAAATACTTCATTCTAAATCCCTACCTTAATTTGGAATTGTGGTCTACAACAATTATCCTAAACTTTAAGCTTCTCTGCTAAGTGGTACAGTGGATAGAACACCACTAAGCCTGGAGTCAGGAAGATGAGTTCAAATTCGTCTTTGGATAGTTACAAACTGTGTGACCCTGGGCAAGTTACTTAACCCTGCTTGCCTGAATCTCCTCATCTGTAAAACGAGCTAGAGAAGGAAATGGCAAACTACTCCAGTATCTTTGCCAAGAAAACCCCAGATGGGGTCAGGAAGAGTCAGATACCATTGAATAACAACAACAACCTTCTTACCTAACATTTATCTATTAAAATATTTCTTCAGAATTATGAGGAGAGGGGCAGCTAGGTGATGCAGTGGATAGAGCACTGGCCCTGAAGTCAGGAGGACCTGAGATCAAATCCAACCTCAGACCAAACACTTGACACTCACTAGCTGTGTGACCCTGGGCAAGTCACTTCACCCCAATTGCCTAAAAAAAAAAAACAGAATTATGAGGAGATAAATGCGCAATTTCTTAAAAATCATGTTGCTATTTCATGTTTTAACATTGAAGAGTTTGCAAACAGGCAAAGTCCTTTTGAAAAACAGAAACCTAGTTTGTAAACTATGGAATAAAGTTATTCTATGTCAATGTCACTCATTAAAAAAAGGAAAGGTAATAGAGAAGAGAGCTTTTTTAAAGAAAAGGTATAAAGTTTAAATGAGACATGGTTGCTGCCTGCCTGAAGCTCACAAACATAAGCCACATACATAGATAACTATAATGTTTAATAATACATTATTAAAGACCCTTAGAAAAGTGTGAAATAAAAAGCTATAATATGGATGTATGTGGAGAGCATTTTCTATCTGCCCAAAATAATATATAGAAAGAAGAAAGATGCAATGAAGCTAGTGTGTAAATAATAATGATAATAATAATAATATTTATATAGCACTTTAAGGTCTCAATCTAAAATGTGATGCTTGCTCCTAAAGAGACCAAATAATCAGGCAGGTGATTTCTATTTAAGTAGAGACATTGTTTGGTTGTTCAATGGCAGAAAGTTTCAATTTGAGGTGATAGAATGCAAGCTTCTTGAGGGCAGGAACTGTTTCATTTTTGTCTTTGTCAAAACATAGCACAATACCTGACACATAGCAGGTGTTTAATAAATGTGTGTTGATTAATTGGGAGGAAAACAGAGTTAATAACTAAAATTATCTTACCAAACAACATCTATCTGTGCTTATGTAGTTCAATTTCTTTAAATCCTCCTCCATCTGTTACTTCCCAGATTATCACAGACCTCAAAGG